GGCCGCTGGTGGTGGTGTTGTTGTTGTTGTTGCGAGTGTAGTTAGCGGTAGTGTTTAGCACAGCGAGTGTAGTTAGTGACGGTCGAGTGAGTTTGGCTGTAGTTTTATTGTTTGCAGAGACTGCTCACGAACACTGAGCCATGGAGGCCATTGTGGTGACATCATCATCACAACCACCACCATCATCACAACCACCATCATCATCACCACCATCATCATCACAACCACCATCATCACCACCACCATCATCATCACAACCACAACCACCATCATCACAACCATCATCATCACAACCACCACCATCATCATCACAACCACAACCATCATCATCACAACCACCATCATCACAACCACCATCATCATCACAACCACCATCATCATCACAACCACCATCATCATCACAACCACCATCATCACCACCACCATCATCATCACAACCACAACCACCATCATCACAACCATCATCATCACAACCACCATCATCATCACAACCACCATCATCATCACAACCACCATCATCACCACCACCATCATCATCACAACCACAACCACCATCATCACAACCACCACCATCATCATCACAACCACCATCATCATCACAACCACCATCATCATCACAACCACCATCATCACAACCACCATCATCATCACAACCACCATCATCATCACAACCACCATCATCACCACCACCATCATCATCACAACCACAACCACCATCATCACAACCATCATCATCACAACCACCACCATCATCATCACAACCACCACCACCATCATCACAACCACCATCATCACAACCACCATCATCATCACAACCACCACCATCATCACAACCACCACCACAACAATAATCATCATCACAACCACCATCATCACAACCACCATCATCATCATCACAACCACCACCATCATCACAACCACCACCACCATCATCATCATCACAACCATCACAACCACCATCATCATCATCACAACCACCGCAATCATCACAACCACCACAATCATCACAACCACCACCATCATCACAACCACCACCACCATCATCATCATCACAACCATCACAACCACCATCATCATCATCATCACAACCACCATAATCATCACAACCACCACAATCATCACAACCACCACCATCATCACAACCACCACCACCATTATCACAACCACCACCACCATCATCACAACCACCACCACCATCACAACCACCACCACCATCATCACAACCACCATCACAACCACCACCACCATCATCACAACCACCACCATCATCACAACCACCACCACCATCATCACAACCACCACCACCATCACAACAACCACCACCATCATCACAACAACCACCACCACCATCATCACAACCACCATCATCATCACCACCACCATCATCATCACAACCACAACCACCATCATCACAACCACAACCACCATCATCACAACCACCACCATCACCACCATCGTCATCATCACCATCATCATCACAACCACCACCACCACCACCATCGTCATCATCACCATCATCATCACAACCATCACCACCATCGTCATCATCACCATCATCATCACAACCACCACCATCATCATCACAACCACCATCATCATCACAACCACCACCATCATCATCACAACCACCACCATCACAACCACCACCACCACCATCATCACAACCACCATCATCATCACAACCACCACCATCATCACAACCACCACCATCACAACCACCACCACCACCATGATCATCACAACCACCACCATCATCACAACCACCACCATCACAACCACCACCACCACCATCATCACAACCACCATCATCATCACAACCACCATCATCATCACAACCACCACCATCATCACAACCACCATCACAACCACCACCACCATCATCATCACAACCACCACCATCATCACAACCACCACCATAATCACAACCACCACCAACATCATCACAACCATCATCACAACCACCACCATCACCATCACAACCACCACCACCATCACCATCACAACCACCACCACCATCATCACAACCACCACCATCATCATCACAACCACCACCATCATCACCACCACCATCACAACCACCACCATCATCATCACAACCACCACCATCATCATCACCACCATCACAACCACCACCATCATCACAACCACCACCATCATCACCACCACCATCACAACCACCACCATCATCACCACCACCATCACAACCACCACCACCATCATCACAACCACCACCACCACCATCATCACAACCACCACCATCATCACCACCACCATCACAACCACCACCATCATCACCACCACCATCACAACCACCACCACCATCATCAACAGCGCGGTGATGGACACAACCACCTCCTCTGCCGAGTTCGCCTTCCTCATCATCGTGACGAGGCGAACCGATGGCGGCGAGGAAGAGGCGAGGGGACGCGGAGGGGTGACGGAGTGTCAGGCAGGAGTGAGGGACACGGGGAATGAGTGAGGGACACGGGGGAATGAGTGAGAGAGTGAGGAATGAGGGACACGGGGAATGAGTGAGGGAGTGAGGGACACGGGGGAATGAGTGAGAGAGTGTGAGGAATGAGGGACTGAGGAGTGAGGGACACGGGGAATGAGTTAGGGACACGGGGAATGAGTGAGAGAGTGAGGAGTGAGGGACATGGGGAATGAGTGAGAGAGTGAGGAGTGAGGGACACGGGGAATGAGTGAGAGAGTGAGTAGTGAGGGACACGGGGAATGAGTGAGAGAGTGAGGAGTGAGGGACACGGGGAATGAGTGAGAGTGTGAGGAGTGAGGGACACGGGGAATGAGTGAGAGAGTGAGGAGTGAGGGACACGGGGGAATGAGTGAGAGAGTGAGGAGTGAGGGACACGGGGAATGAGTGAGGGGCACGGGGAATGAGTGAGGGACACGGGGAATGAGTGAGAGAGTGAGGAGTGAGGGACACGGGGAATGAGTGAGAGAGTGAGGAGTGAGGGGCACGGGGAATGAGTGAGAGTGTGAGGAGTGAGGGACACGGGGAATGAGTGAGAGAGTGGGGAGTGAGGGACACGGGGAATGAGTGAGAGTGTGAGGAGTGAGGGACACGGGGAATGAGTGAGAGAGTGAGGAGTGAGAGACACGGGGAATGAGTGAGAGAGTGGGGAGTGAGGGACATGGGGAATGAGTGAGAGAGTGAGGAGTGAGGGACACGGGGAATGAGTGAGAGAGTGAGGAGTGAGGGACACGGGGAATGAGTGAGAGAGTGAGGAGTGAGGGACACGGGGAATGAGTGAGAGAGTGAGGAGTGAGGGACACGGGGGAATGAGTGAGAGAGTGAGGAGTGAGGGACACGGGGAATGAGTGAGAGAGTGGGGAGTGAGGGACACGGGGAATGAGTGAGAGAGTGAGGAGTGAGGGACACGGGGAATGAGTGAGGGACACGGGGAATGAGTGAGAGAGTGAGGAGTGAGGGACACGGGGAATGAGTGAGAGAGTGAGGAGTGAGGGACACGGGGAATGAGTGAGAGAGTGAGGAGTGAGGGACACGGGGAATGAGTGAGAGAGTGAGGAGTGAGGGACACGGGGGAATGAGTGAGAGAGTGAGGAGTGAGGGACACGGGGAATGAGTGAGAGAGTGGGGAGTGAGGGACACGGGGAATGAGTGAGAGAGTGAGGAGTGAGGGACACGGGGAATGAGTGAGGGACACGGGGAATGAGTGAGAGAGTGAGGAGTGAGGGACACGGGGAATGAGTGAGAGAGTGAGGAGTGAGGGACACGGGGGAATGAGTGAGAGAGTGAGGAGTGAGGGACACGGGGAATGAGTGAGAGAGTGGGGAGTGAGGGACACGGGAAATGAGTGAGAGAGTGAGGAGTGAGGGACACGGGGGAATGAGTGAGAGTGTGAGGAGTGAGGGACACGGGGAATGAGTGAGAGAGTGGGGAGTGAGGGACACGGGGAATGAGTGAGAGAGTGGGGAGTGAGGGACACGGGGGAATGAGTGAGAGAGTGAGGAGTGAGGGACACGGGGAATGAGTGAGGGACACGGGGAATGAGTGAGAGTGTGAGACGGCAGGAGTGAGGAGGAGTGACAAGACAGGAGTGAGGAGTGACGGGCAGGAGTGCGCGACACCGAGTGGTGAGGGGGGGGGGTGAGGGGGGGGCGAGGAGGGAGGGATGGGGGGAGGGGTGAGGGGGGGTGAGGGTGAGGGGGGGTGAGGAGGGGTGAGGGTGGGGGTGAGGGGGGGGGCGAAGGGGTGAGAGGGGGGTGAGGGTGAGGGGGGGGGTGAGGGTGAGGGGGGGGTGAGGGGGGGTGAGGAGGGGTGAGGGGGGGGGGCGAAGGGGTGAGAGGGGGGTGAGGGTGAGGGGGGGCGAGGGGGGGGTGAGGGGGGGGGGGGGGGGATAGGGGGGGGTGAGGGGGGGTGAGGGTGAGGGGGGGTGAGGGTGAGGGGAGGGGAGGGGAGGGGGCGTGAGGGGGGGTGAGGGTGGGGGGTGAGAGCGGGGGCGAGGGGGGGAGAGTGAGGAGTGAGGAGGAGTGACGGGCATGAGTGAGGGACACCGAGTGGTGAGAGACACGGAGGAGTGAGCGGGAGCGGTGAGCGACACGGAGTGACGAGGGAGAGAGAGAGATGGCAGCAGCAGCAGCAGGAGTGAGAGGAGTTCGGAGGAGTGACAGGGAAGGGCGATGGACACGGCGAGTGTGAGGCAGAGTGTGAGGGGAGTGATGGGGGAGGGAGTGACGCGGAGGGGTTCAGGGATTGCGAGGACAGAGACCAGCGAGTGAACACTCCACAGACAGAGGAGGTGGTGGAGGAGGTGGAGGGGGGCACGGAGAATCGTCTCGCCTCGCCATGGCCGCGACACAGAGGAGTGAGACGGGGGGGTGGGGGGTGAGGAGGAAAGAGGGAGACTTGGGTCAACAAACTCTGGAGAGTGATGAGGTGTGGTGAGGAGGGTGGTGAGGAGGACGAGGAGGTGGTGAGGGACACGGGCGAGTGACAGCACGGAGGGGGAGAGACTTACTTGCCTCGCCATGGCTGTGAGGGAGACAATCCGCGGCGGAAACTCTCGAGTGGGCAGGGCGAGAGAAGCGCCGAGTCAGCAGCGGGGGCGCTGGGTTCGGGGTGTGTGTCACGGTGTGTGTGTGTGTGTGTAGCGGTGTGTGTGTGTGTAGCGGTGTGTGTGTCACGGTGTGTGTGTGTGTGTGTAGCGGTGTGTGTGTGTGTGTCACGGTGTGTGTGTGTGTAGCGGTGTGTGTGTGTCACGGTGTGTGTGTGTGTCACGGTGTGTGTGTGTGTGTCACGGTGTGTGTGTAGCGGTGTGTGTGTGTCACGGTGTGTGTGTAGCGGTGTGTGTGTGTCACGGTGTGTGTGTGTAGCGGTGTGTGTGTAGCGGTGTGTGTGTAGCGGTGTGTGTGTAGCGGTGTGTGTGTGTCACGGTGTGTGTGTGTGTAGCGGTGTGTGTGTGTGTAGCGGTGTGTGTGTGTGTCACGGTGTGTGTGTGTGTGTGTCACGGTGTGTGTGTGTGTGTCACGGTGTGTGTGTGTGTAGCGGTGTGTGTGTAGCGGTGTGTGTGTGTGTCACGGTGTGTGTGTGTGTAGCGGTGTGTGTGTGTGTAGCGGTGTGTGTGTGTGTGTCACGGTGTGTGTGTGTGTGTCACGGTGTGTGTGTGTGTGTGTCACGGTGTGTGTGTGTGTAGCGGTGTGTGTGTCACGGTGTGTGTGTGTCACGGTGTGTGTGTGTCACGGTGTGTGTGTGTGTCACGGTGTGTGTGTGTGAGGCGGTGTGTGTGTGTGTGTCACGGGGTGTGTGTCACGGTGTGTGTGTGTGTGTAGCGGTGTGTGTGTGTGTGTCACGGTGTTGTGTGTTGTGTCACGGGTGTGTGTGTGTCACGGTGTGTGTGTGTGTCACGGTGTGTGTGTGTCGCGGTGTGTGTGTGTGTGTCACGGTGTGTGTGTGTAGCGGTGTGTGTGTGTCACGGTGTGTGTGTGTCACGGTGTGTGTGTGTCACGGTGTGTGTGTGTGTGTGTGTCACGGTGTGTGTGTCATGGTGTGTGTGTGTGTCACGGTGTGTGTGTGTGTGTCACGGTGTGGGTGTGTGTGTGTAGCGGTGTGTGTGTGTCACGGTGTATGTGTCACGGTGTGTGTATGTGTGTGTCACGGGGTGTGTGTCATGGTGTGTGTGTGTGTGTCACGGTGTGTGTGTCACGGTGTCACGGTGTGTGTGTGTGTGTCACGGTGTGTGTGTGTGTCACGGTGTGTGTGTGTCACGGTGTGTGTGTGTAACGGTGTGTGTGTGTCACGGTGTGTGTGTCATGGTGTGTGTGTGACACGGTGTGTGTGTGTCACAGTGTGTGTGTCACGGTGTGTGTGTGTGTCACCGTGTGTGTCACGGTGTGTGTGTGTCACGGTGTGTGTCACGGTGTGTGCGTCACGGTGTGTGTGTGTCTGTGTGTGTCACGGTGTGTGTGTGTCACGGTGTGTGTGTCACGGTGTGTGTCGCGGTGTGTGTCACGGTGTGTGTCGCGGTGTGTGTGTCACGGTGTGTGTGTGTCACGGTGTGTGTGTGTCACGGTGTGTGTGTGTGTGTCACGGTGTGTGTGTGTGTCGCGGTGTGTGTGTGTCACGGTGTGTGTGTGTGTCCCGGTGCGTGTGTGTCACGGTGTGTGTGTGTGTGTCACGGTGTGTGTGTGTGTCGCGGTGTGTGTGTGTCACGGTGTGAGTGTGTCACGGTGTGTGTGTATGTCACAGTGTGTGTGTGTCACGGTGTGTGTGTGTCACGGTGTGTGTGTCATGGTGTGTGTGTGTCACGGTGTGTGTGTGTGTCATGGTGTGTGTGTGACACGGTGTGTGTGTGTCACGGTGTGTGTCACGATGTGTGTGTCACGGTGTGTGTGTGTCACGGGGTGTGTGTGTGTCACGGTGTGTGTGTCACGGTGTGTGTGTGTCACGGTATGTGTGTGTCACGGTGTGTGTCACGATGTGTGTGTCACGGTGTGTGTGTGTCACGGGGTGTGTGTGTGTCACGGTGTGTGTGTCACGGTGTGTGTGTGTCACGGTATGTGTGTGTAACGGTGTGTGTGTGTCACAATGTGTGTGTGTGTGTGTCACGGTGTGTGTGTGTCACGGTGTGTGTGTCATGGTGTGTGTGTCATGGTGTGTGTGTGTCACGGTGTGTGTGTCATGGTGTGTGTGTCATGGTGTGTGTGTGACACGGTGTGTGTGTGTCACGGTGTGTGTGTCACGGTGTGTGTCACGGTGTGTGTGTGTCTTTGTGTGTGTCTGTGTGTGTGTGTCACGGTGTGTGTGTGTCACGGTGTGTGTGTCATGGGTGTGTGTGTGTCACGGTGTGTGTGTGTCATGGTGTGTGTGTCATGGTGTGTGTGTCATGGTGTGTGTGTGTCATGGTGTGTGTGTCATGGTGTGTGTGTGTCATGGTGTGTGTGTCATGGTGTGTGTGTCATGGTGTGTGTGTGTCATGGTGTGTGTGTCATGGTGTGTGTGTGTCATGGTGTGTGTGTCATGGTGTGTGTGTGTCACGGTGTGTATGTCATGGTGTGTGTGTGTCATGGTGTGTGTGTCATGGTGTGTGTGTGTGTCACGGTGTGTGTGTCATGGTGTGTGTGTGTCACGGTGTGTGTGTCTGTGTGTGTGTGTCACGGTGTGTGTGTCATGGTGTGTGTGTGTCACGGTGTGTGTGTCATGGTGTGTGTGTGTCATGGTGTGTGTGTGACACGGTGTGTGTGTGTCACAGTGTGTGTGTCACGGTGTGTGTGTGTGTCACGGTGTGTGTGTGTCACGGTGTGTGTCACGGTGTGTGTGTCACGGTGTGTGTCTGTGTGTGTGTCTGTGTGTGTGTGTCACGGTGTGTGTGTGTCACGGTGTGTGTGTGTCACGGTGTGTGTCGCGGTGTGTGTCACGGTGTGTGTCGCGGTGTGTGTGTGTGTGTCACGGTGTGTGTGTCACGGTGTGTGTGTCCCGGTGCGTGTGTGTGTGTGTGTGTCACGGTGTGTGTGTGTGTGTGTCGCGGTGTGTGTGTGTCGCGGTGTGTGTGTGTCACGGTGTGTGTGTGTGTCACGGTGTGTGTCACGGTGTGTGTATGTGTCACGGTGTGTGTGTGTCACGGTGTGTGTGTGTCACGGTGTGTGTGTCACGCTCGTGTGCCGTGTCGCCTTCATATGTGCTCGCTAACAGCACTTGCCCAAACAGTCTGTTAGAGGCCATAATGGGGGGGGGGGGTGGGGAATCTTTGCGTAGGGTTTAATGAGTGCACACGTGTGGTTTTGTAGGCGTAAAGTATAATAGCTGTGATGATGAGTAATAATTAGTCAATGAATTGATGTATTTGTTGTGATCGATTAGTCGGGTCCCTTGAAAAACTGACTCGCGAAGCCGGGGAATCGACAACCAGCGCATGGCGTGATGTTGCTGATGATGTCACTAAGCCTCACCCCATCACCTCCCGTCCAGCGGCACACTTTGGAACAAGAAGTAGGGGGAGGGGATTTCTTCTCCCCCTCCCCCCCAACTATTATTCTGTCATCTGACTCGTCGAGGAATGGAGCCGATAATTGGTGTGGAGTAATCGATTATTTATGATAGCCTGTAAAGAGAAAACAAATACGCCCTGGTCAGCTTTTGCAGTACAGTAGTTCCTAAAGAACTGCGTTGTGGCCCTTTTGTAGTGGGGAACTGTCACTGCTTGTCCGCTGTGGGTCACATTTAGTCACATTTACTCAAACGCCTTGTGCTAACGACACTTCCCGAAGAGCAGAAGACCGCAATGAACTTCTACAGGAACTGCTGATGGGTTTGTTGTGTGTGTGCGTAACACACAAAGGCATCGCGCATTCGACGACTATTGAAAAAATTGTCGATGCTTCGTGTGAGTGAGCGCCTGTTTAGACCTCAGCGCACGATGAGGTAGGGTCTAGCGTGGCCAAACCCATGTTCCGACCGTCTTTGTCTCTCCCCAGTGCTGATGTTTCGAAATCGCACCAGATATTGGTGACCTAAATTTCCACGTGATAAGCCACTTCGTTGGGGGCCGTCCATAAATGACATCACGAGATTTTGGACGATTTTTGACCCCCATCCCTCGTCACACGGCGTCACAGAAAATCAGACCCCCCCTCAAATATGACGTCACAAAGCTCTGCCCCCCCCCCCAACCATATTTCCATTTTGAAATATAACATGCTTCAAATCGCTTTAAACTCTTGTCATTGTAGTGCGTATTTAATGTGGCGCTGCACTCTGATGTTGTACGAGTGTTGTTATAACAATTAGTGTTATAACAATTCTAAATGTATTTAAAGTTGCGCGTTTTGATGTCACGTCACATTTCTCAACCCCCCCCCCCTCGTCACACATCGTCACAAATGTCTGAACCCCCCCCCCCCCCCCCCCTAGGTGCGTGACATCATTTATGGACGGCTCCTTGAGGTGTTGTTATTTGAGGCCAGGTCGCTTCTGGTAAAAACAAATATCGTATGTGGATAGTCTGGATAGTCTGATGCGCTCATTCATACCTAGTTTCCACGAGCCACATGACCCGGGTTTGAACTCGAGTTGCCTTCCGAGGGCCACAGCGTTTCTGTGATCTTTTTTTTGTCATCTCGACGTGGATAGAAATTGGGCTCAGATGCCCGAATTTTCACGGCGGCTAGCGATCAACTTTCCCTTATATCCGCATTCGGGAGGAGAGGAAACACGGCCCAATCATAAGACGTTGTACATGTTGGTGGGAACATTTACTTTCACATTTGACTTTTTTTAAAATCAGAATACAACCCGACAACTTGATTCTTGCATTCACACGACATTTCTGAGAAAGTCTCGCACGAAAAGATCTTCCCCATCGACGTGGGTAACTCAGGCAAATCACGGAAACGCCAAATTTGTATTTGCCAACTGAGGTTGCCCTTCAACGAGAGTTTTGGGAAACAGCCCCCCGGGTCAGCGTGAGAGTTAGCCAGCCGTTCCGTGGACACGAGATGTGAGTTGACGAATGATTGATTATACTCTTTGGTTCTTTCGGTAAAGTCACGTAGGTATAAAATGTAATAAATCACGACGTTTCGGGCACAACACAAGCGTCCGTCATCAGG